CCGAGCGAGCGGAGAGGATGGGAACGGAGGGAGGGGGGAGGAAGGAGCTGAGCGCGAGCGCAGCGGTCGCCACACACACACAATATACCCGAATCCCTGCTGCCCTGCGAGGGTGGGGCACTGTAGACAAAAGTTGGAATTATGTAACAAAATTCTGTCCGAATAGTTTGGAAACGCGATTTTCCAAACAGTTGTTGGAAAACAAAATTTCCATTCCTCTTCTTGGAGAAAAAAGGAACTATTTCACACCAGAACCAGGTTTAGAAGCATCAAAAATGACAATTTGCCAATATATTCAAAAACGTTAGTCAAAGGTTTTTGAGAGATCTCTAAAAAGTTTTGAAATTTCCAAATATTTCGGGAAATTGTATTTCTAAACTGTTTAGATTTCAAATTTTCTAAATTGTTCGGGCTGCAAATTTTCCAGTTCATTGTTCGGAAATTTCCAACAAAACTTTTTACAGTGGGGGAGGACGTTATCCCCTTCTGAAAAGCATCCTAGGGCGTCCTAGGGCAATTCCAGACAGGGGTGTCCGTCAGTGACGGCATTTGTGAGCGACTGAGAGGTGCTACGTATTGTTGCAGTACGTCCCTATAAGCGTCTTGCAAAGACGCGCCTAGTCATGTGCTTCAACAACCTGTAGCACCTCTCAGTCGCTTACAAATGCCGTGACTGACGGGCATTTTTTTACCATTTTACCTGGAACTGCCCCTTACAAATAAAAGTCGTATTTTACGCACCTTATCTCCGAAAGTTTTGAACAAAAAATCGGCGTAGTCTACGTATTTGTCAATCATTGCAGGGCTATCCCAGCCTCCAGTCGCTTTCTCTAAGGTGTAGGGCTGATCAAAGTGAAGCATCGTGACCTAAACATAGATTTGTATGTAGAATACAGCACTCTAATACAGGTCAAAATAGATCTTTAAAAAACAATGTGGCTGCGCGAAGCGTATGGAAACCACGTCTGGCGTGAAAATAACGCGTGCGTTTCGTGAACTGTGTAACACTGCCAGACGCGATTTCCATACGCTTCGCGCAGCCTATCAGGAACCGACTTTTATAACACCTGGCGTGGGAATCACGCTTGCGTTCAGGGAACCTCTGTATCCACCTTTACTGTTTCAACGAGCTATATATAACGAGTTATAACGAGCATTTGAGCATTTGTGAACCGATACAGCTGCTAGTAAACAACAAATGTTGGTTTTATTTGACCCCTTGCGAAACTTGTGCTATTCGGCTTATATTTGCCCACAACAGAAACTACTTGGTATTACTTTGCTGTATATGTTCGACAAATGTGTGGTTAATTTTGTTAGCGACACATTTCTTTCAAAAACAATACTCGTAATATTACAGCATTTTTTTTCAGGAGCAGAACGAAAGTGACTGCATGTGCTTTTCATGAATTGTACGCGTCCTAACCACAAGATCGCATCTGCAGCGCGCCGAATACACAAAATTCTATCCGCAGCGTGCCGAATACACAAAAGTGTATCTGAAAAACGCGGGTTTCGGGGTACCTCCACATCCTACTTAATCTTTTGCAGTCATTAATTGAACATCATTGAGCCTGTACGATACGATTCTTTCCGTGTGCGCAGATTGCCCTGAATGTCTTCTAGTTACATTCAAACCACACAAAGGTGAAGAGCTGCACCCAACCTACCAACCTCATTCCGCAGTTAGACTTTTGTGAGTTCAGCACGCTGCAGATAGAATCTTGTGTATTCGGCGCGCTGCAGGTAGGATCTTGTGGTTAGGACGCGTCGAATTTTGTTTTTAACAATAACCTGTGTTGTTAAAAAACATGTGTCCCTTACAAACTTAACTGAACTTTTATTGTTAATTCATAACAACTTTTATAAGTCTGCGGTTTTAGGACTTTATTCGCGTCTGCGCCGAAAACGGAAGAACGCTCGCGGTTCGGTTCCTGCGGTTGAGCCATAAAAGGGGGCTTTCTAAAGACATGTCTGCGGCACTTAAAACAGCAAAGTTAAAAAGGGCGTTCTTGAAACCGCTTATAAAATCCCGTCCTTGTCGCGGCCTCGGTTTTCGTGAACACCCGAACAGTCAGCGTACGTGAATGTGGAATTTAATAAAGACTTTTAACTTAAATACTTACCATTGGTTCCATGCCGTTGTTTATTATTTCATTTATATAATCAGTGTAGAACTCCACACCTTCTTGATTGACATTGTCAACACCTCCGGTTGGGAGAACGCGAGACCACGATATAGAAAACCGATGGGAAGTAAACTGAAATTAAATGATATAAGAGTCAGTCGAATCGGTCTGGAAGTACTGCGTTTGTGCAGCATGGCAAAAATTTAAACAAGCAGCTTGCCATAAGACTAGATTAGAAATATTGCTTCTGTGCCCTTCAAGCTGGCGCTTAGGGGAAAAAGACAAGAATACCGAAACTACACTCGTGAGCAAAATTACTGCACCATCTTTTTGACAGGGCATCATTTCCAAGTGTAGTGTAATCAGGTGGAAAGTTTTAGTTTGGTGGAAGGGTAGGCTCATGTGCCGTCAACAGAACCTGTAAAGCACAGACCTCCATCTCGAACGATTCGTAAATTGTGTGGCCTAACGTAGGGGATGGTGGGGCATATTGAAACCTATAAGCACGGAGTTCGTGGCGGCTCTGTATTGACCCGCAGTTCCAGGGAGCTCTGCACTCGGCAAAACCAAGTCCTGAGCTGAGATTCCCAGGACAATTGGAACCCCAGTGGATGCCCTCGAAACTATCACTAGGAGATCTACTGGGATGACGGTTAAAACGAAGTCCCATTTTTTGAGAGAAAAGGGTAAACTTTGATGAAGTCAGTAACTTTGAGGGATCTTTCTTGAAAAATAATAACGACCCTTAGAGTAAGTCACAAATTTTGAGGAAGTCCCTCAAAGTTAGCGTGACTTACTTTGAGGGTCGTTCTTATTTTTCAAGATCCCTCAAAGTTACTGACTTCCTCAAAGTTTTCCCTTTTTCCTCAAAAAATGTGACTTCGTTTATACCGTGATACCCAGGACAACTACTGGAAAAAGGTACTGTTTCTTGGTTATTCACTGAGACTCTTCCTCGAGGGGTCCTCCACTCCAAAAGTCGTTGTACAGTGGCAAAATTGCTCGCGCTTATTCGCGCCTAACTCACCAAACTTGCCAAACTCGCCACAACTCGCCGGAACTCACCTTAACTCGCCACAACTCGCCCTTACTCGTGACAACTTTCTCTAAGCCGCTACTACTCGCGCAAACTCGCCGCAACTCGCCGTAACTCGCCAAACCTCAAGAAAACTCGCTATAACTCACCCTAACTCGCGACTATTCCCAGATTTGGCAACTCGTCGAACACCATTTTTTGAAGTTGGGGATCGATTTAACTCGCCACTTCTTATTTGCACCAAATCGACCAAATCGCCTATAACTTACTCGTTCCTACTCGCCAATACTCGAGCTTACTGGCCATTAGTCGCGCCAACTCGCCAATACTCGTCTCTACTCGCTAACTGACCAACTTGTTGTACACCATTTTTAGGAGTGGGGGACCCCTCGCCTTATACTCCAGCAGGTTAAAGCTTTGACTTGCACTGTTAAAATAATTAACGGAAATGGGCACTTATCGACACATGAGAAGAACAACCGCTTACCTCTGCGGACTGGAAACAAAACCGCTTACCTCTGCAACCCTCCAACAAAACCGCACACCTCTGGGACACGCAAACAAAGCCGCTTAAATGACTTTTTTACCCATTCTGAAACATGGGTATCATTCGAAAGAGATTTTCTCAGTGATCATTTTGATACCCGTATCTCAACATGTGTAAAAAATTCGTTTAAGCGGCTTTGCATGTCCCAGAGGTGAGCGGTTTTGTTTGAGGATTGCAGCGGTAAGCCGGTTTGTTTTCAGTCCGCGGAGGTAAGCGGTTGTTCTTCTCGGATGTCGTTATGTTGTGAGTTATGGGCCCCAGTTACATGGCTAGTGTTCATAACAAAACAACCTTCATCTGCTTTGCGAAAGCTAAATCTTCTCGGAATCTGTGGTAGTGATCAGCAGCTACATCCGTAGAGAAGGGACTGACGAACCCTGGCATATGCTGCGGGTGGTCAAGGATGCTCTCAGCTTTGCCTGAAAACAAAAAAAAACACGTGAGTCCAAAATGGTGATAGTAGTGCAAGTGGTGGTAGTGGTGGCAGAAGGAAAAGGCGAGAGGTGGTGTTTCCTCTAACAAAAGTACCAGAATATTTTGGTCAGCAAATTCTCCCACATTGTAATGCATTTGTAGTGCGATTAAGCGAATTTTATTTATTTACGG